GCCGCGGGAGCCTGCAGCCACCTGAGGTGCTCCTCGGCTGCCGGCCCCGGGGGAATTCGAGTCAAACAACAGCCCGCATTCACTCGCCTGCACTATTGATCAACTTGGCTACTTCAATAAATTAAGCCCTTTCTTAATTGTATCGTCCCTTTTTATGCATGGTGTTATCCAGCGCAGCTTCGCTGGCAAACGATGAGATCTTTCAATACCACCCTCCAAGTAATTTATATGTAAATAATAAAAAGCGGGTCCCAACACTGCTCCCTGCAGCACTCACCAATTAATCTCCTTTTAGCTTTTTACTGCCACCCTTTGTTTCCTGCCCTTTAGCCAATTTCCAGTAGACTGTGCCAACTTTCCACTTTGTCTGTACCTTCATATCTTTTATATTAATAACCTGTGATGCAGAACAGTTTCTCAAACATTTTCTGAGAAATCAAAGTGCTCATGCAAGACCATCTAGTGCGTTTATTATTATTTTTTTTAATTCTCTGGCAGACATAACCCTGAAGGACTTCAAGCCACTGAAGTGTGATGTTTGCTTCTTGAAACTACCCGAACTCCCTTTGATCATACTGTACTTCTCTAAGTATTTGCCTTGCTCGTTCCTTTTAAAGGTGTAATTCCTAAAGATTTCTCCAGAAGGCAGATGTGAATCTAAAACGGTCTCCTTTGACATGTTCGTGGAGTCGTCAGAAAGATTTTACTAACATAATGGAACAAGAAAAACTCTCCTTCATTACTTTCTTATCATTTGCTGTGGTGGCTGGCTTCGGGTTCATTGCTGGCAAGGGCCAAAATGCTGCCGTCAGGGCTGCACTTCTCCCCACCAAGCAGCTGAGCTGCCATTCGAAAAATTTCAGGATGAAATTCTGCTTTTCAGCTGCAAGGTGGCTCTTGCTGAGCTTTAAAAAGCAGAAAAACCTGCTGAAAGCTTTCAACTGTTCCATTATGAAAAATAAATATTTAATTCCATGCCAGAGAGCCTCAGCCATGGCTTGCCTGCTTTGTGCTACTCCAGTTCATTATAAAAGGCTCAATTCTCTAGAGCTCACCAACCTGCAGAAGTCCTCCAAATCTGGTCTTGTAACAGCTGAGCCACTGAATCCTGATTACCTTTGTCAGTCTTGGCCACATGACTTCTCCTCCCATAGCCTGGCACTCTGTCAAAGTATCATTTCACACCATCCACAAATTACTTTTATATGCCTATTTCTGGATGTAGTCTCAGGGATGCTTACCTTTCCCTCAGCTAAATTTTGGTGGACATGGCACACCAGAGCTTTGTCACACTGGAAGTAAAACGTTCTGAAAATTCACCACATTGCCCCCAACCTGGGAAAAGACGCTGTAATTACAGCACAGTTACAGAACTACAGAAACAGAAGCCAGAGGACTTGGATCCTCCCTCTGTCATGACTCACTGTGTGCCTTAATTTCCTGTGCCTCCCCTTTTCCAGGTCTGGAAACCACACATTGTGCTTCCCTACCTCTATATAAACAATTTGAAATCCAATGCTGCACAAGGGCCAAATATGACTGCTGCTTGATGCCACTGCCTTTACTTCCAAGTGCCAAGCTTCCCAGATGGCAGCATAAAGATGTTTTTTTCTTAATGCCGATTTCTGTGCAAGGTGTACTTTCCATGTATGGACAGAATAAGTCAGTGAAAAACACAAGGAGGTAAAGCACTGGGGCTCCCTTTGGGAAGAGAAGGAAGAGATGATTAAGAGGAGGAGGTGCAGTGGAAAGCAACTTGGAGCATATGTTACTTCCTAATAAAATTCAGGGCTTTTTTTGCCAGTATCTCTAAATCGAGGTGGCTGGTGCTCTGTCTTTCTTCCTCCTGCCCTCGTACATTTCTGCTGAATTTAGCTGTGAAGGGAATGTGGAAACAAAGCCAATTTTGCTTCCCTTTTGCAAAGCAGTTAAGAGATCCTGAAACGTGGATAGCATATGAACTGGATGTCATATTCCAGAATTTGAACACGTACAGACACCCTCCACACAAATCAGAAAAGCCCATGAGAAGCTTTGGTTTATACACACAGACAAATACTGCAGCAGCAATTGGCAGAGATGATACTGCTGAGATACCATGCTGCAGCCATTACATACCCCAAAAACACTGGGTCTCAGCATGCCAGAAAGAAAAATAAATAGGTAGAATTACATCATTTTGCTGGCACCAAACAAATCCATCACAGTGATGAGGGCAGAGCTGCTGCCTGCCTGGCTGAGGAGAACAGGAGCAAGTCCCAAGTGAGGGATACCACACATTCAAAGCGGGGAGAGGGAAGGCACTGGATCGACAGCAGGGAAACATGAAGAAGGGGCTGTTGGTAGATCTCCCCCTTTTCTTCAGGGCCAGAATCTCTCAGCACTTTTTTAATTTTTCTTTTTAAAGTCTCAAAGATGTTCTAAGCAAGGTTAATGTAGTAATTTGGTTCTTTCCTAGCAGTATTATGTCATTTGTGTATTTTCATTCTCTCACACTGCTATGGCAAGCAATAAATTCAAGGTCAAATACTGGGTATGGTGAAAACTCCAGCAAGCCAGTTGACAGTGGACAGGTCTCAGCATTTGGGCCATGGAAGCAAAGCCTCCTCTTTCTGTGCTGTCATAAGACAGTTTGACCTCGCTTAATATTTTATGAAAAATATGTATCATCTGTTCCTTGATGTAGGAACAGGAATGCAGTTACAGAGGAAAAAAAAGCGAGGTTTGCATGTTTCTTGTTAACAAATACATTCAAATCCCTTTGGAAGGCTTGATATCCTCCACTGCAAGGTCTCTGGTGGTCAAAAACTGGAATTGATTGTGGCGAGGCAAGTCAAAATGATGGAGGCATTTAAAACTACACCTAACACAAATACAGCATAATCCCCTCGTTATGCCATCATTTGGGAATGCACACTGCAATTCCTGCCATTATTTGGTGTTTGCACAAAACCATCATAAAGAATTAAGAACTGGAGGTGAAGGGGCAGACAGATGGAAGCATAAACCACTCTTCTGATCGCTCTTGGCATTTTCCTGCTTAAGAGTTGATCTGGTATCCTCTGTGTAATGCAGGGTACTATGCTAGCATGGAAGACATCCAGTGCTCCCTTCTGGAGAACACAGATTTACATCTGCTTCTGAGAAGGCAGCATGATCTAGGCCTCAAGGGGAGCTGGAGCACACGAAGGTGGGGAGAGATGGGTGTCTGTCACACTGAACGGCGAGGCTACGGGACAACCGTAAACCAGGGAGTGAGAAGGCATCAATGCTTTGCCAGGGATGCGGAGCAACCAGAGCCAGGGCATACAGCTGGGGAACCTACAACATTCCTACTATGTGGATGTTAACGACACGCTGCACCTTTGGGAAGGGCAGCACGTTACCTGGATTGGAACACAATCAGAATAGGCAATTTGGGAAGAACAAATAAGCACACTACGTATGTTTGTTTTTCTCCCACAAATCAGATAGTCGAACCTTGGCTGTTTTACCTCAGGAGATGAGGACAGGAAAGGTTTGATGTATATATTGGAGTCATGCACTTTCAGGTCATGGTCTCCCAGTCCTCGGGTCACTCCAATTGTTGCCATAACCCGAGCCTGGAAATAAAGAAAAGTGATGGGATCAAATCTCATTACATGCACTGTGTCAATAGGGAAAG